CTTGCTCTGCTGTCTGCCTCTCCAAGGTCAGAGCTCTCTTCAGGGTCTGCGGAGCTAACCGCAGGCAGCTATCACGAAGTGAGGTCACACAGTATTCAAAACAATCTCTTCTTGCCTAAGGCCTAAGACATAACAGACCCAATATGCCTCCCCTCCCGGGCCTACCAATGTCCAATTTTACTTCCACACCAACAGAAATGGTTTTCAAGCCTCAGCCTAGTAAAGAGACAGCTGTGTGGGTGGGTTGTGTCCCTGCTGTTTTGGCTGCTCTGTGCCTTCTGAAGAATACGTCCTACAGGGAGGGCAGATTAGCCTTGCTGATGCGTTCACCTGATTTTACCAGCTTATGCTCTCAGCAATTAGTATCTGGATGGGATTTCCCAAAACACACACAGCAGTCATTGATACTCTCGAATGATTGTGGGCAGCTAAAAAAATATCTGCGTGGAGAGATGGCTTCTCACGTAGTAGGTAGTAATGGGGTGTCCTGGAGACGGAGTACTGCCATGGCCTTCACATTGCGTCAGACAGCTTAACAATCTCACACACTCAAAAAACAGTGCTGCTGGCTCATGAAACTTGGGTACTTCCGAGAAAGGGAGCAGCTGCGCACCTGCAATGGTGAACGTTCCCAGTTAGTGTTCCTTTGCATGACGTGGACAGGGTGACAGAGATATTCCTCCTTTTAACACTCAGCATCAGCTGCCAGATTTTCTAAATTTTTTTCAGGATTTCTGGGAGGGAAACTCATCTTCAATCCAATTCCCTGCCCACTAAAACAACACGTCTGCTCTAGAAGCCCATTATGGACTTCTTACCAATAGAAGCAAATAACAGTAAAAACATGAAATGTATACACTACAGATTTTTGAGCTTCGAGCTGCACAGCTGCTTCAGTCGTTAAGCCTGGTCTATTTGGTCCTCTGTCACTCCCCCTCTTTAATAGCCTAAATTCTCCAAATTAACATGTAAACAACACATGCAGCAAATATCTTGTAGAGAGGACTCAATAGGTCCTATTACTGATTACATTTCCCTCCAGTTGGCAAACAGGGCTCAAACAACCACTATGATCCTCCATATAGCTTGATGAAATATTCCTCCAGGTCATATATTTACTGGCTGACATTGATGGGATTCTCGGATGGCATATATAGCCCCTTGTGGTGTGTACCCATCTTGAGGTCAGTGGCAATAGAGACCATGGACAGAGTGCCTTCTGCTCCATCACGCAGGTAATAGTGAGACAAGCTTCACAGGTGGTGAAGAAACATGAGGTAAACATGGTAAAATAATGAGAAAAGTCCCAGTATACGATCTCCCGTCAGAGGTTTTCAACAACAGTGCCACCCAGCTGTGAATAGTGTTTTTTGTAGTGCTGCTTGGTTTTACTGACATGGCTATAGGACTGGCAGAAGGTACAAGCAAACTAAGCAGCTGCTTAAGGCCCAGCGGCCACCAGGGGCCCTTGTCCATTTGATCAACCTGCCAGAATGGGAAGGAAGATGACAAAGACAACCAGATTAATCGAATTTTGCTTTATTCTCTGAAAAGGTTAGGGTATCCCTGAGTTTCTGAATTTTCAGAGCCCACTGTTTGAAGCTGACCCATGGCTCAGTCTTGAATTACACTGAGGATACCAGGCGGATTGAACCCAACCAGATGGCTTGGGGCAGGAGGGTGCCAGTGGAAAATGCCATCCTGTGCCAGTGGTCCTGCTCCCCATCCACAGGCTACACATATCCTACACACTAACCCTGCCTGTGCTTGGAAATGACACAGCGAGAGAAAGCTCATACCTCAAACAACTCAAAGCTTTATCCAAGTGACCTTGTACTAGTGCTATAACCATTTAGTATGTTCCTGTTCTTTTTTTATTCACACCAGAAAAACAGAATACAAAAGATCGTCTATGACAGTCTTTCTGACGGCATATCAAGTTGACCTATACGCAGCTAATTTAGATATTTCTATGGATACAAATGCATGAGATTTCAAGGTGCTTTATGCTAATGCATAAGTATTCCAAATATATTTACTAACAGCTGTTTCATTTACATTTCCTTTTAATTAGCTTTCCCTGCCAGGAGAATTTTTCAAGACACCCAAAGCGCTTTACAGAACCAACGAGGAGCCACTTCAACCACCACTGTGAAACCATTCTGGGGTAGGAGAGAATTCACCAGTTAGATTTAAGGGGTGAGTAGGACATCTCATTTGAAAGGGCCACAATGGGCAATTTTAGCCAGGGCATCGGGGTACTACCCCCTATCCAAACCTGCATATCTTCAAATGGATTACCTAGTCTGACCTGCAGGGGGTTTGGCTGCTGACATTTGCAAATAATGTAAATAAAACCCTGGGGAACCCAGACCACCTTATCATTATAGGAAAAATATGTCCATTGGCTAAAATGATCATACAGACCCAGTGAACTCAAAAACAGGTGTTTTGTAAAAATAACCCTTTCCCAGTCCATGTTATGAATGTGCCATATACGACCCGCTGGACTGTTCATGCTGTTCCAACTTGTTAATTTCACCTATGAAATAAGAACAGAAAAGAAGGAAAAACCAAATCTTTGTAACTCTCATTTTCAAAATGCATTTATTAAGTTTTCCTTTTCATCATTCACCATGTGCTGGCAATAAAACACATGCCTCAAACATGCCAACCCATCAAGAAACAGGTCAAGTGAACAGACCTGCAAAAAGGTGCACTACACAAAGAATGTTTACCTGTGGAAGGTTGTAAGGTCTGGTGCAACACCTGTATTCCCTCTGTTTTTGTCTGAGGCTGATGTTGAGCACATGGAACATCATCATCATAGTTGCCAGAAAAGTTTCAAAACATCCAAAACCTATTTGGACATGTTATATAACATCAAAACATTTTAACTGATGATGCAACATTTCTGCCACTTACCTATTCACAGCTTGACTGGTGAATCTTTGCAGCGTTGGGGGCCATATTTATTGTGGAAAAAAATCTGGTTAATTCAGTCAGTAATCACTAAATGTCACTGTTACTGGGTCGTATATGGTACAATGGGCTGTAAAGCAAAAAGAAATTCTTAACTTTGATGAGTGGGATGAATGTGTAAGGCAGAAATAAAAGTAGGGGTCGTATATGACCCCGTGGATTCCCAGGAATAAATCCATAGCACTTTAAAATAGAATTTTAAGATTTCACTTAAATTTCATAAAAATTCAGGCACGATTTGCATTACAAATGAAAAGATGTGCATATACTGTATGCATACTATATACAGTTAGACATGGGCAGTGGGTCATTATATAGTTGGCAGCACAGCCCATTCTCCTGCACCAGTTATACTAACCGATACACCTGTTAATGTCCTACTACATCCACTTACAGGTGGCTCTTGATCATTGTATATTATTTACTAAGGACCTTGGACGTAAATGTGGTCGAATGTGACTAGATCTCCTGTATCTCAATGTAAAACTGTATTTAGTGACAGTGACAAATTTCTTTGGCCTTATGACTTGAGAATGATTCTTTGTCATGAGCATAACCTGCCTGCGCATACTTTGTGTAAATATAACCAGACCATTCTATTTGACAATTTCTATTTGCCAAGGTTGATAATTAAGTGGAAGTCTGTGCATATCCTATGTACTGATCAGTTTACTTCAGTTAATCTTCTGTCCCGCTAGGGATTTGTGTACGCATAGTCGGAAGTGTTCATAAATAGGCCTATATGCATATTCCAACACAGCAGAAGAAATTGATAAATACCATTCTATGCGTAAAAATGTGCGTATGGACATTTATACTCAAAACTGGTCATACGCATGGTTGATAAATGAGACCCCAGGTTTGTCTGAGTGCACAAAGGTGTCAATAGCTGCATAATTTAGATTTTTCATCAAGTACAATAAACTGTAACACTTACTATAATGCCATAATAAACACACTCAGTATAAAATTTTATACATAAACAAGGCCCATGATAAGTACACTGTTGGTGTCATGACCTGCTCTTACGATCCTCGTGTGTAACACGCCCCCTCATTACCTACGCGTGCTACCCCAGTTGTGATCACCTGTTGCCTGTTATTTTCTGCTTGTCTTGTGTATTTAGTCCACGTTCAAGTCTGTTTCCCCAGGTCCGTCATTAACGTGAATTTGCCGTGTGCTCCCCTGTTGCCTTGTCAACCCTGAATAAACCCTGTTTTTGATCGCATTCACGGCTCTTTCGCCTGCTTCCCCGCTCGCCGCACGCCGGTCATCACAGTTGGAAGAGGGATGGGTATTGAAAGTGGTTTAGAAAGATCATGTACAATTACACATTTCAAGACAGTAGTCCTCCAGGATCCATGGGTGATACATTCCAAGACCTGTTGTGGATAACAGTGAACCATCCATGGACCCCACATGCAATGTGGGTTTTCATGTACATATTTATGGTGAAGTTTATGTGATATACTACGAAAAGTAAAACATTGCCAACAATAAATACAGTAATAATAAAATACTGTGCATTATAAAGTACTGGACAGTACTGTACTCTCTTGAATGAAAGGAATTCTGACACTTCAGCCTAATTCTCAAAAAACAATTTAGTAATGAAAAAACATCATCTATCGAGGGATAACAGGGCAATGAAAATAATGTTTTTTATACCCCTCAAAGGACGAAGGAACAATGAAAAACAGGCTACTGTCACACATTTTACAATGAAAAATATTGTGCCCGGAAATAACCTGTAATGAGAAAAAATTATTTGTTATTAGCCTGTTGTACGTACTCAGCGGTTTATGCCCTGTACTCACATGGCACATGGTTTAAAACTTATGACCCGATTCTGGTATCCGTAAACTTTTTTTTCTGAAACCACGGAAAGGGGGTCCCACTGTTGAAGACATAAGCACTTTTGACCCTTTTCTGTCAGACGGAAACATGTGACAGGACGTAACCACAAGAGTCTGAGCAGAGCACCATGCAAAGTGATGACAAAGATACAGTGACACCAGTAATACTTAAGGAGTTATTTTATGATCACATAAATCTTCTGTATATCTTTCCCCCACCAGTTACGAGGTTAGACAACCACAGGTAAATTTGTCAATTTTTAATAAAAACCCCCCCCAACGCAATAAGCGTACAAGATATTCCAAAGTAAATACTTAATTAAGCCATCTATACTGCATTTCCCCAATCACCCCTTGCCCACCCAATTTTCATTATCCAACATGTCACTCAGGTTTAAAACACAAATTCTTAATTCAATAATTCTCTCACAATAATTTAACATGCTGACAGCACTGTCAGACATCTATCAAATAACATATAATAGTAATGGTGTATAGGATATGACCCATCCAGAAAGACATTATTCGATGGCTACTGCAAAGAATGTTATAGAGCACCAGGCAGGATATGAATGGTCAGGGCTAGCATGCATGCTGATGGTGAAGCTCCTCCAACATCCATTTCCCAGTGACAGTTCCAGGCTCCTCTGAGGTTCAGGGGGTCATCTCAGATGGGACTGATACTACACCCTTTGACCTGACTCTTAGGGGTCCTGCTCGTGATCCAGTGCAGGCATTGTGAAACCCGGGCCAGGGTAGACTTCCACGTGAGTGCCGGGGCCCGCTCGCACACTCCACTATGCATGGCCCATCTCAGAAGTCTCTACTTACAGTGTTTGTTGCCTCTTGTTGCAGTCTGTGCGGTTCATAATTCCAGCAAGGGTGTGTTGAAGGCAGGGGACACAGATGAAGGCCCAAGTGTAGCAGAGGCTGATCAGTGAGGGTGATCAAAGACTGATAGAAGAGGAACCTGTGAAATGTCCTGATCGTTCAGTGAGAGACCCTGGGAGGCAGCCATCCACCTCTACCAATGATGAGGAATATTCAAGCTGAAAGAAGAGCATTCATGCACGGAAATGCTGAGGAACCTCCTTTCATTTAAGGAAGATTCACTTCCCTTACATCATTTACAATCATTATCACAAAGTATGAATGATCTTTCCCGCAGAACAGAGGTTCCTCCGACCATCTGGCTTGTCTGAGTTAGGAGTACATAGCCATCGCAAGCTCACTCGCTCGCTCACTTTCACTGTAGATCCAGCTGCCAACTTACTCACACAGGGAGCATCAGGCCAGACACCTGGCACAGCTCACTCTGAAGGTGCCCTGTAACCCAATCCGAGTGGCCAAGGTGACAGCTCTGTCCAGAGAAGTGGCCCACTTTGCATTGAGTGAAAAATGTGTGAGGGATCAACCACTGTTGCCAGGGGACACACCTAGCACTTTGCCCCAGGCACCGATGCAACTGAGTGGGGCAGCAGGGAATCTCACAGTAGAAAATCACTGGACATATTTTAGGATGGCACTTCATTGATCAAAAACATTCATTACCAAATGCCCGCTTCAACAGTGCACAGTGATTAGTAGTAATTGTATTGAACAACCTAGGGAAGTTTCTAGCTATTGAAAAGATCAGGGGCGTGACTTTTTTTTTGAAGTAAGGAAGATTGGCATCGGGGATAAAATACTTGGGGCTATAGCCCTGAGTGATCAGACCTAATGATGCCCATAGACAAACCACACATCTATCCTCAGAAGTGTGTAAATCTAGACATCTAACCCAGGTGAATTTAACTCCTTTATGGTATCTGGTTAAACATAACAAGCAAAGACTACCTGAAACGACAACTGATTACTGTGTAGGTTGGATACTTTATCTATATCCTGTAAAATATAAAAACAATTCAGCTGCCTGAGCCATGTGTACTGATGTTTAGTTCCACCTGATGGAACTTTGAGGTGGGATTTTATTGATCCCAGATGGACAGGAGGATGTTACAGCAGCTCTCACAAGAAAAATACACAGACATGGAAAACTGACTGAATAAAATATAAATGTTGAAATAAAATGAATAAATGTACAGATTTAAAAATAGACAAATCTTAATGAGCAAAATGTACATATGCAAATAAATAAAATGAATTCAAACATACCGTTACCATTTTGGAGAGTGTTGACTGGACAATTTTTGGCTGGAATATAAAACATACCCAACAGCCTACCCCCAATCTTGAAATATTAAAAACCTTGATGCAAAGGCTATAAGGGGCTGATAGGCATCCAAATTTGGCCACTTTCCCTTCCCTGGTTCTCCCAAGTGCTTGAGAGACTTAAGCATACAACCAAATATGACGGATACTGGCTGGTTTCGCCTGGAGGTCCCACACTCCACCTCTGTTGGATTCTGGACCCTGGTCCCATGACTCAGGATGATGTAACCACATGACCATACAGTCTATTATGAAGTTAAAAAGATGCTGGCATCCCCTCTGGATAAAATTACACCAGACTTCACCGGCCGTCATAATCACCGGCTATCCAACTCTGGAATATCTGGCTATCAAAACAAGGACCTATGAAAATACTCAGGACACAGGGGCATGTACACCAAGTGACATCAAAACTAAAACCTATTTATGAAACTGGAGGAAGACATTACTGCAATTTTTATCTTCGAGGAACCATGTGGACTGTACAATCCATCAGTCTTATTTTTAGAACATGTAAACAAAAACAGTTTCTGGTAAACAGGAACTCACAGCCTCCACATTTCTCGTGTCAGAGTGCCTTACCTATCGATCGGTCACCAATTTACAGTATACAACCGAATGCTGGTAGCTTGAATGGGGACAGACATCAGCCTCTGCCTTAGCTTGCCTTATTCCCACTCCATACACAATGGGAAGAGCATAATTTTACTGTCAGGTCCTGTCAGCTTCCCTGTGCAGTGACACCGGACCACCTACACCATTCCAAACACACATCATTCATGGGACCCAAAGCCATCATTGGTTCTTGCATTATTATTACGCAGCACAAGGTAAAACGTATCATCAGCACAGATGCCATCTTTACTCCCATGCTTTTTGGCTGGAATATAAAACATACCCAACGGCCTACCCTCAATCTTGAAATATTAAGAAACTTGATGTAAAGGCTATAAGGGGCTGATAGGCATGCAAATTCGGCCACTTTCCCTTCCCTGGTTCTCTCAAGTGCTTGAGAGAATTAAGCATACATTACATGAAGAAATAAAGAATAAGACGTAAGCCGACCTATTAGTATTGTACAAAATCAACAATCCATCAAAAAGGCACAACTAAACTGCTTGGACTATCTACAGTGTTTTCAAAAAGCTGGAAGATATGCTCGTAGTCAATGAATCTTATTTCCCATCAATCACAGTACTGGTATGTATGATCATGTGTGACAGATTAGCTACCAGTGAAACTGGCTATAGGTTTTAACAGGTATGGTACACTCTATGACAAATCCTTAGGAACCAGCTGCTTGATAAGCCACAAAGAGAAACATTCACTCGCACTAACAAACACCATCTTGGCACAGCTCCAGGGACACTGGAGGTGTGCCACAAGCTAGTATTTCATACCATTTAGGGGTTTTCTGGAACCCGACCACTGCAAAATGAAAACAGGTCTATAAGCAGAGATGTGGGGAGGGGCTTTAAGTAAATGCACTATCCACTGGAGGTCCGTTGAAGCACTGGTAGGTATTTAAAAGTACCAATCTTCGGTTTCCATAGATTGTGGCTACCATGTTTGCTCACAGCCAAAAGGTTCACAGTTTGAAACCAAGTGGAAACATGCTTGTATTTCCACTCCCTATCCCAGCCATAACACAAAGCTGTTTTTTTTAATTCCACAAATACCATCCCCCCATCCCTAATATTTACTTCCTTGATAGTCTATAATATTCTGCTTCTCAGTTTTTTTGTACTGCAGACTTTTTAATTAGATTGCACTGTGTGTTCTGTTTTTGCACCTTGTCTGTCTTGCACTAATGTATATTGTTTGTTTGTGCTCTATGTTCTTGCTGTTGTATGTATAAGAAGTTTATCAATTTAATTCTAATATCTATATTACCTATTTATCTAATCTAAAAACTAAATTAAAAAACTAAAATGGAAAAACACACAAAATGAAGAAAATCAAGCTTTTATCAACCATGTTGGGTCTTAACTCATACTTATGTTGTATTAAAAGAAACATGTTGAAAGTAACCATTCTCCAACACCAGCACAGCAAATAAAAACTGACATTCAATTGAAACCTTCAGTAATGCTGGAATATGAATACTGAGAAAAATAACACTGCAGACCAACTCATACAAATCAAAATGTAATTGAATCAAAATTAAAACTACATTTGCAATGCTGTGTCCAACAGTACAGTACAGAACATAATTTCAAATAATTTAAATTCAGTGTTTAATATATCGGCAGCCATCACAGACATGACTTTGCAATCGTAGCATAAAGAACAGTGTTATTCGGTTTTTGCTGTATATTAAGATTATACTGGAGGCGTCTGCATACAGCTATCTTCACAGATGGGTTAAAAAAAAAGATGTTCATTTTCACATTGGTTTCACACAACAGGTTGCGCATTAAGCTTTGGTGCAAAGCTGTGTAGGACCCAGAACTGACTTGCTCCAAATAAGGTACTGAGGGAGAAAAAAAACATTATCATTGAGTCCTCAATTGTCATAGGATCCTTGCTCCGTCCCCAAAATCCCACATCACAGGAGACTTCTGTGTAGCTCCAGGTACGTAAACCTGCCATCTTCAGTGACCAGATCAGTAGGAGTCAAACACTACGGTGAAAATTTGAGGCGTAAGAGTCTGCAATACAGAATACGGAGAAGGTCAGATCTAATTCTGGGGGGTGTCATGTGGAAACCTATCAGCAAGGCACTGAAGAGAAAGGGAGTTACAGATAAAAGAGGAAAGGTGGGGAGATATTACAAGGCCCTTTAAATAGGCAAAGCCCCGGAACAGAAGGTTCCATCTTTGAACATTTCTCATGACTCTGCTAAGAAATGCTCTGGACACAGAATGGCATTCAGTCCCCACTCATAGCAAGGTGGCTGTGATTTGCAAAGTAACATAAACAGTGCAGGAATATTAGTTCGTTCATAGTACCTAGAAGTTCAGTGTTAAGTAGATCACTGTCCTGAAGACCTCAGCCAGAGCACATATGGTCAATTAGCCAACTGTCAGTCTGTAACAAGTAAAACTGAGGCAAGGTGGCAGTACAGGCAGTCCTGCTGCAAGGCTCTCACCAAACAGGTCATGTCCCACTGCCACCACCCAAGCCTAAAGGAAATAGACCACATACTTAAAAATAACAGCTCCTCCGAAACACAACGCAGTGTCAAAAATACTCATTGTTATGTGGCTAACATTCAGAGAGCAGCCATAGAAATGCAAAAGGGCTCCAATAGGAAGTCAATTTTTCATGCTTACATACTCCTGCAGCCTTAACGGCCCCTCCAGGAGGAAGCCGGAAATGACACTTACCAGTACTGGCTGTAACAACACATGTGCTTCTAATCAAATACATTCACACAAAGCCCATAATTCATCTGCATTTGCTGGGCACCTTTAAATATCTTTGATATTCACAAGGCAATGGACAGTTATGCACAGAAAGTATTTGTGATGGACCTTTAACAAATAAGCTTCAGGGATAGAAATTCAGCCAAGTTAATTTGAATTTGTTCTGTGCATTGTTACATCTCATATTTCTGTCGCACCAATACAGTATCCGTCAAATATCTTCACTTACTGCATCCATGCAGAGCAGCTTAACCTATGGCTGAACGACAGAAGTTCACAGTCACGCTCTGTCTCTTTACTTTTCACACAGCATCCCCTGGCAGTGTAGGAGGTCAATTTGAGACACACAGACGCACATAAAAAAAAAAAGAACTGCTCATGTTACTGCACAACCAATAACACATAAGTCATTCTAGCTGTTCTCAGCTATTCAGGCTGATGAATGCAAGGACTGGAAGAGCAAACCTGGTTCCCTCAGGGGTAGAAAGACAGAGGCGTATGTAATAGAGATGCACCGATCGATCATCCAGGGACCGAAATTGGCTGTCTTTCAATGTGCTCGGCCCAGACTGGAGACCAGCCGATCTCATGCATTTCCGATACCGAACTAGTCCATTCTGCGCATGCACCACACATCATATGCACAGCGGTGCAGATAATAGCCTCACAGCCATGGGATCACTCATACCCACATGCTAACATGTCATTAGTGTGGAAGTTCTTCACTGTGTGTGAGTGAAGACGACACAAAGCTTGCAATTTGTAATACATGTAAAGCTAAAGTAAACCGTGGTGACACATCGGAGGTAAATTTTAAACCGATTATTAAACATATATTAGACAAATACTCTTTAAAAGGAATAATCATTAAAATTGCAAAGCTAGCTAAGGTTTTTTCCTATGACAGAGTAAAAATGTTTTAGCAAAACTTTAACCCCCTGCAACATAATGTCCGTACAGTAGGAAGGTATGAAAAAGCCTGATCTTAATCTAGCTTACTAGCGATGTAAGAATTGTATGCGCATAACATGCGATGTTGGTATTATAATATTACCCTGCATCTATTATTATTTGGAAAAGTATAGCACTCTTCAGTTTTATTTTGAGGTTTGTAACCTATGGACTGTAAGACGAGTAATAAAGAGAAAAAGGTCAATTATCCGGTGAATTACAACATACTGGAAAATTATTTAAGTAAATGACATCTGTTTTATTTAAATCTGTTGCACCTGCTCTTGTTTGCTAAAGTAAAATGTGTCAGATAAAATTGGGGGGTACAGCAGCTCATTTTCAGTTAACTGTTATTTATATCTCGTTTCCAGACTTGTTTAAGTGAGAGAAGATCTGTAACTTGCAGTTTGTTGGAAATTGTAAAATTTAACAATTTATTTTATTATGAAAATAAAATTTTGTATTGAAGAAAAGTTGATTTTTGTTTGTATATGATGCCAATTGTAATTCTTAGAAAGAAAATCGCGATCAGCAGGTCAAACTTGCAAAAACATCAGAAATCAGAATTGGCCAAGAACATTGCAATAAGTGCACCTCTAGTACTGTATGTAATCAGCATGGGGACTGAGGTGCAGTCGAGTCATTTCAGGCTCTGTGGATGATCCACAAGTTGGACGGGTTCCTTCTGCATCACATTCATGGACCAGCCCTTTTGACATTTCACATGGCATGTGTGCAGATGGCCGCCTGAATCCTCTCTCTGCTCATGACTGACTTGGTCTGTCCAAACAGACGCTTATCTGAACAGTATTTCTGTGTTGGGAATCAGTTCTATCACATGACTCTGCCCATATATGGACAAATTATAAAGTAATGATAAGCATACATGCACTAGTGTTTATGCTTTTTCCCCAGGAGAATATATGTTTATGAACCCACATTCAACTGTGGCTTATCCAGTACAAGGTTATGGTGAGGTGGAACTTACCATAGGAAAAAGAGGGTGCATGCGAGGGGAGACCCTGCAGGGGACACAGGGCATCCACACGCACACACATAGCAGAGAACATTCAAAGCCCAGCTATACCATGAAGCTATCAGGCTACCCACTGTGCGTCACTGTGCCTCACTCACTCACTCACTCACAATATTTCAAATGTTAATCTTCTTTGCATGAAGTAGGTCTGATTACTGATCCCTTTAGTGGTTTAGTGGCAAACTCACTGCATGAAGGCCAACTGAAACTGGAATTACTATTAGAGGGTACAAATCCAACCAGGCTGGGCGACAGGGTTATCATAGTAACACCTAGTTTCCAGAAAGGAAGCCCCCATCCCTTTTGTAAGCCCTCCATCTTGTTCATGATTCAATACTCATCGGTTGGCAATACGGGGACCCTGAATACCAAGCAGCGAGTGAAGAGTAGGTGTCCAAAGAAGTATTACCCCACTAATCCTGCAGAACTCCCAAGTGTTTGCTAATTGGTGGACTGGCAGAGGTGCCCAATATTTCAAAGGTCACATGGGTAATGCCTGACAACCAGAATACTGGTGAGTTGGCATAGTGCCCAATCCCTCAGAAGTTATTTGGGCAGTGCCCGAGGGCCCAGGTGCATCGAAGCATTGGCATAGTTGTCCAGCCTGGCAGGGGTCCAATGGGAAGTCAGGGACTGTCACTTTCAGTTACCAAGAACAACCTTGACGAAGCTGGATACATCTGTCTCTTTTGAGTCGTGAAGTGTGAAAAATGGATGTTGCTGCAACGGGGCAAGAAAGTAGCAGTTAGATTAGGACACAAATGTTGCATCATGACAAACCAGCATAAGTGAAACAGTTTTACAGTCAAATCCTCACCATTCAAATGTAAATGGCTATAAAAAGAGAACAAGTCTACCCACTAGTGACCATTTAATAGAGATGCATCTGATCTAATCCACAGGTTCAGATGTTGTTATGCATTGAATTACTTACACACACTGATTTCTCAGGAACAAATGGAGGTTTATGCAAGTTCAAGTCTGTGTTCAAAACTCACCATGAGCTCGGTGTAAGCTGGCCTCTCTTTCGAGTTCTTCTTCAAACTGAAATGGGGTAAAACACTCAGATGAGACATATCACAGGGACATCTTCAGTAAGGCAATATCAAAAGGCAACATTATACATTGCGAAAAGACCAAGTGAACAGAATATCAATGCAGGTTCAAGAGCCTCAGAGCAGTTGAAAATTGCATGACTTGCTTCTGGAAATATGGTTAAATCCTAGAACATTAGTCACTAGTCATTAACTCCATTGTTACTGCTCTCTGTTACATCCTGGACAGGTAACAATGACTGTTGTGGCGCATTTTCACTGGCATCCAAGAACCATGCCGGACCCAACTCCAGGTTTGGAGAGCGACAGTGATGTAAAACCGGTGAATCATGATTTAATAAGTGCTAATTTCCACCATCACGTCTGTGAGAATCACCTGATATGTTAACATCAAATGCTAGCAGAATTAGTATTTGCTTGAGTAAATTTGTATTATGGCTCAGTTTAGCCATGCCTTTGACCCTGTTAGTGAGCATGGTTAGTAACTGTCAGAATGGCTACAGCACGGGTACGGCTCACATCATTTCATGGTTCCGCTTATGTACGGCTACGTTTTTGGTGGTAGTGGAAAAGTGCCATTAGATATTAAGAGATGGGGAAAAAGAATCACTTCCTGGAGACCTGGAGGACTACTTTATACTGAAAACTCCTGATTCCCCAGAAGTTCAACTCACATCGACCCAACAAAAATGTAACCCCTAATCACATATACATATGTGATCCAAGGCCAGCTGTTTGCAATCTCCAGTGGCATTTGGGAGTTCCAGCAAATGTTTCCTGTTCCCATTAAATCCCTTTGTATATTAGGTGTATTAGTATATCCATCCATCCATTTTCTCCCGCTTATCCGAGGTCGGGTCGCGGGGGCAGCAGTCTCAGCAGGGAATCCCAGACTTCCCTCTCCCCGGCCACTTCATCCAGCTCCTCAGGGGGAATCCCGAGGCGTTCCCAGGCCAGCCGAGAGACATAGTCCCTCCAGCGTGTCCTGGGTCTTCCCCAGGGCCTCCTCCCAGTGGGACATGCCCGGAATAGCTCACCAGGGAGGCGTCCAGGAGGCATCCTAATCAGATGCC